AAATCTGGGGGGTAAAAACTAATGCGGAGAGGAAGTAGCCCATGATGCATGTTTTAGATCTGATGTTAAAGTTGGTGCAATATTCTGATTACACCCATTACAAACTTGTGTATGACACAACAATATTTTGATTATACCGATATTGATTATAGTGATCGTATTGACTTAGAGTTGATGACGAGACGCATCATATTTTCCTGGCTCTAACACAGTTTCATAGCGTCTTTATGTGATTTCTCTCCTTACCTTGGATGGGTAAATATGACGACTAGCCTATAGAACCCCTACCTGACACATCCAGGCAATATCGAACTAAGATTAAATTTCAATGGTATTTTGGAAATCATAGTTGCTAGGTATTCGGTACATGACACTAGTAGAAAAACGAGCAATCTAGACGGAAATTTCCGTCTAGATTGCTCAATTTCCCGTCTAGGTTGGTACACCTAGACGGAATTCCGTCTAGTTTGCTCGGTTTAATCTGTTTCCGTCTAGGTTGGGGTAAACTAGACGGAATTCCGTCTAGGTTGACCAACCTAGACGGATATCAAGCTAGACGGAAGTAAGAAATCCGTCTAGGTTGCTTCCTAGACGTAATTCCGTCTAGGTTGGCAACCTGTGTTTTCATCATTTGTTTTTTTTTTTTTTTTTTGCAAAATCTACGTTACACGTTATATAATATCACATGTACACAATATAGCACAACACCAAATCATGTTCATATCCAACACAATCGATCTAATTATATTTCAATATCAAATATAGTTATATTCAAATAATACATTCACCAAAATACTAGAAAGGTGCATAAATTTTTTACATAGATTGATTATAAAGAATACAATTGTTTACATAACTTAGTGAACTTTGCATAATTTATAGAATCCAATACAGGTGTCCCATACCACGATGGCCAAAGATGAGGCTGTGAATGGTCACCCTAGACATAAGCACATATGTTACGCTTGTATGTTAAATCATTATAGTTAGCAAAGTTCAGAGCATCAATAACAGTTGCTTACCTCATTGAAAAAATCGATAATACAATAATCAGGCTTAATAGTCAAAACCTGATTCTGGATCAATAGATCAAGGGCATCCTGCAACAAGCTTGGAATAGCCTCCGCCTTCCGCTCTGAGAGAATGGGCTTTAAGATAATGATAGCACATTTGTACAGAATTCATTAATCGCAGAAAATGTTGTACAAGGAAGAACTTACCAGAAGAGTTCCCAGTTGTAGTTTCATCTAGTGCAGGTCCTTCAGCAATGGGGATGCCTAATTGGATCATTTCTCTCCCATGCCCTTTCATAGGCCTCTTGGATACAACAAAGGTACGCCCTGATTTTCATCATTCCAAAGAAAAGGTATTTAGTAATGCCAAACTATGAGAGGTCAAATTTATCCACAGCAAAAGCACAAAATTTCCTCATATGCAACTCTTTCTTAATGTTATAAACAACTCTTTTAATGGGAGGAAATAACACTACCAAGCCCAACCCCCACCTCACACCCTCCGCCCCAGAAAAAAAAAGGAAAAAAGGCAAAACAAAAATCACAAAGAAAAACCCCTCTTTGAATGGCATGATTCCAAATGGCATAAAAGATCGTAATTACTTATAGATGGAAGACAAAGTTCATGAGACTCCCTGGAAGATATATGAGCCCTTAGCATGCTAACAAAAACCAGTAATTCAACAATCCTCCTATAAATTTAGAAGATATCATGTTATAGAAATTCCTAAATTTTGTTCAGGTTAGATCCTTGAAGTATTGGAACAACGTAACTGAAGGGATGGACTGGTGCAAGAGGGAAAATAACAGATGTAAACATCTGAAAAGCAAGATAATATATCTCCTCATGTGTAACTCTTTATAAATACCAAACAACTCTTTACTAATGCCAAACAACTCTTTACAAAAATAAAAACAAAAAACCCACCCAAACCAACCCAAACAAAAACAAGAGGGAAAAATTCTCGAATGACATAATTCCAGATGGCCTAAAAGATTGTGGTTATACACGGAAGGGAGAGAAAGTTCATGAGACTACCTGGAACATGAGCCCTTAGCATGACTGACAAAAAAGAGAAATTCAACAGAAGAGTCTCTCCCTTATATAAATTTAGAAAATCGCCTATTATAATGCATATTTCTCACTAGCCCAAAGATTTTAGGGTATGATATATGATATCAGTCAACTATTTCATCAGATTGGCTTGCTCCTAATCTATAAGATAACTGCATCTACCCGAGTCAAATTGTATATTAAACAAATCATTCCAAATTCTTCACTGGTCGCTTAATATTTTCTTTTCAATATTTCAAATGTTTTTTTTTCTCAACCTTACAATTTTCCCCAAGTGTTAAGACTCCTGAAAAGCTCCATCATATAACTTAGAGGTATGCAAATGATCCATAGACACAGGAAGATTGGTAATCATGTATAACTAGGCCTAAAGCCTCCAACTTTTGAAAGAATAGGATTAAGTTAGTAACTAATACTGTTCTAATTGCAGAAATAGATTGGCAAAAGCTGGTTAATCATATCAAGATCTTAAGATAGCAATATTAATACAAAAACTGTAACAAAAATAAGGTACAATGAGAGATGATAACTTGTTGGATGAGAATATGAAAAAGGTAAATAACGGAGTTTACCACGGAACTCTCTTTTATGACCAGCGGCTCTCAAGTTATTTGCTAACGAATTTAGCCTTGTAATCTCTGAACTATCAAACAGCTGCTCAAAAAGTTGAAGTCCTTCAAACATAGTCATATGCTGTAAATCAAGAGGGAATGAAATCATAACTCCATGAAAATACCAGAAGTGTTTACACAGGGTACTCCATGTATATCATTGATTTCAGCTGTAAATCAAGATACATGTTTTGATTTAAAATACTTGTCATACAGTTTTTGGACACATCGACATTCAAGCATAAGAAACTAAAAAGATTATCGAAAATGTAGGTATCAGTGAAGCTAAAGTCTATCTCTGGTTTGAGCTATCAGTTAAAGTGATTATGCCTCCTTTATGTCACCATCATCCAAACCAAAGGAAGTTTAGAAGTTAAGTAGAAAAATTTTATACTTACATGGAAAAGGAATGAGTACACAACTGCAGATGAGGATTCAACATTGACATTCTATCATAAGAACTGTACGCAAAAAATTATTGTTCAAGGATCCAAGCTTTTTACCTTTTTTACTGAAAAAATTTCAGTTATCTCCAACCATAGAATTTTACCTCGCGTACATGGGTTAGAGCAAGTTTCCACAACCGGAGACTCCGGCCTACTGCAATCAATTGAAATTTTTGTGTCCTTTACGCTGCTATTTGTCTCCGAACTGAGAAGATCACTACCCCCTGAAGAAGTTGAAATAATGTACAAATTAGTGGTCATATCTCCCCTATTAGTTAGTTTAGATGTAACATATCCAAAATAGGCATTAACAAGTACAAAATTTTAACTACCTACCAGGGACAGAACTGACCATGGTTCTATAGCCCTAATTTTCTATACAGAAATTGCATTATTTGGATCCCAAGTCTCCATAGCTTTTACAATTTGACATTATACAGTAAAGAAGCATTTGTTGCCAAACATATCCAGTTAATGATAATTGCATTCTTAGTGACCTAATCACCCAGTAATCCATACAAACTGTAGAATAATTCTATTCTAAACCTCATGAAAATTAAATAACCGCAGATTGAAAGAAGCAAAACCCTAATTCTTGAAATTGGGGGGAAAGGGAAGAAAGAGTATCGTAATGGGGATGTCGTCGTCGTAGAGGATGATGGCGGCGTACGAGTACGCAAGTTCTCCAGCGGTCGACATCTCTTTGCGGGGAGGTGGTGCTCGGGGGCGAGGCTATAGGCGACGGAGGCGACGAGGGCGGGGATGCGGGTGGAGCGGGCGGTGGAGGAGAGGTGGACGAGGCCGGAGGCGGGCGAGAATATAACGATGCCGCCGCCGTGGAAGTAGAGGAGGACGGGGTGCTTGGGGCTAGGGTTAGGGTTTGGGAGGTAGAGGCGGAGGGAGTGTTGCGGGCTGGGTTGAGGGCTTGGTGAGGATGGAGATGAGAGAGGGCGGCGCTGGCAGTGGAGGTGGAGGGGGGGATGAGAGGATCTCGGCGCCGTTTTGAGGAGCAGGCGGCGTGGAGACGAGAGAGAGAGATTTGGGGAAAGAGAGGGGGGGTGGGGTTTAGATCGAGAGGGGAAGAAAAAAAAAGGCGCCGAAATGAAAATATAGGCGGGGAAATGAAAAAAGAGGGGGGAGGCTCCGTAATTTTTTTAGACAATCTAGACGGAATTTCCGTCTAGATTGTATCAACCTAGACGGAAATTCCGTCTAGATTGAGTGTTAATTTTAAAAAAAATAAAAACCGTCTAGTTTGTCAAACTAGACGGAAATTTCCGTCTAAATTGATTCAAACTAGACGGAACAAACTAGACGGAATTTGTTCCGTCTAGATTGCCTCAAACTAGACGGAAAAAATTCCGTCTAGTTTGTTCCGTCTAGTTTGTTCAATTTTCTACTAGTGTGATACATACATTTTTCAAATAATTTAATTAAAAAGGGCACTTAAATGAGCTATATTCATTTAGTACATGTCACCTTGAGGTACTTGCATATATGCATGCATTTTTAATTTACACATTTCTAGGTGTGCTTAAATGTTGTACCTTCCTAAGTAAAAGAATGATTAATATTTATTTCTAACTGATACAAACTTTAATTAGTCGTCTAATTCTGAATGTTCATATAATTTCGTTTAGAGAAATATTTATGTGCCCCACAACAAGGCACAACAATCAGGTATTAATTTGCACATTAATTTTGGTTATGAGACTTTCCAATAGTAAGGATGTTAAGTATAAATTATTTACGAAAGTTCGGAGGGGTTATCTCTGTAAATCCCTCAAAATTCTGAGAGGCAAAACAAATTTGATTCCTACACCTCAAACTCAATAACTTCATTGTTGTTGTCGTGAACAGCAAAACAAATTTGATTTCACTGCCAGAACACTTGGACCACTTTCTCAACAACTATCATTTTCCCCTGTTTTGCATGAAAATCACAGTTATCTTTGAGTTCTCTCCGTCCACATATTTTAAAAAGAAATTAAGAACTAAGGCATGTGATCTAGATCATGCCTCTACCATAGAACAAACAAGGGAAACAAGGCATTATGAATTATTGAGAGGTATATACTATTTGCCCAAACAATGGACAACAAGAGTTAGAAACAAAATCATCTTAATTTGTTGTTTCCCTCTGTTTTCTATATCGTAAAGAATCATCTTGCTTGTAAATTTACCAACGCAAGCATCAACGATTTTCTTTTTCTCTGACAGAAATACAAGCATCAACTATGATGTATCCATTAAGCAAGATAACAAGTAACTAGTGCAAGGTTCTCTTTCCCGTCTCTCTCAAGTCATTGTAATTTCTTGATTCATTTTTTAAACTTTGTTTTCTTCCTTCAATTTTACCACTTTGGTGAGTATGTTGAGTCATATTTTCAGAAATTACTGAAATAAGATACAATTTGAGGCAAGTTAGTAGTAGCAATGATTTGGGGGTGATTGAATTACCTGTGGATTGAAAGGGTGTATATGAATAAAAATGAAAAATTATGTTAGTTTGGAGGGAGTACTTCACTCACAACTTGACTATCAACGTTCTAGACGATTATGATTCATTTTAATCTATGGTCAATTTGCAAACAGACCCTTATTGTGTCATTGCTGAATTGTGCGTCGACCCTTGTAGTTCTATTGTTGCAGACACCCTGAATGGAATTTTTTGACTCTTTTACCCTCAAGAGGTCTATTTGTTTTTTTTAAAGAAATCTTTCTCCGAGGCTATACGAGTCAAAAAAATTTTAGTCAGTGAGTCTATTGGCAACAATAGACCTACAGGGGATCCATCTGCACACAGAGGGTCTACTAAGTTGCGGATAGTACAGAGGTTTGGTCTCTGTTTCTACAACCTCAGATCGAGCTATGCTCGAAACCTGGCTGTGCGCTTGTTAATACTGTGCGGATAGTACAGAGGTTCAGGTTTCAATTTGTTCGAAGCGGATTAACTGCAGTGGATGGATTCAAAACCTCCAGCATCTGTTCTCAACATATCATTCGGTTCTCAGAACTCGATTAACGCTTCTCAGATAATGGAGCTACCAAGGGCTCTGGAATTATGCAATGCGCCCTTCATTTGGGTCGTCAGGCCGCTGATTGGTTTTGATATGAAGGGCGAATTCAGGGCGGAATGGTCACCAGAAAGCTTTGAGGAGAGAATGAGAATAACCAAGAGAGTTGTAGTTAATTTGATTGCATATTAATTGGTTATATTGCACCTAGGCTCTTGTGCTGCTGCAAATGTTCGTCACAAGTAGCTCGCGTGGTCTCTGGAATGAAAATGGGGATATTGTTGTCATTATGAAGGGGCATGCTTCTCATTGAATTGTAAATCTAAATCTCAACCAAAGAAGCTACAGCTATTACAAAGTTGGAGCTCTTTACATCTTCATCCCTATGGATATAGAGCACATGATCTTTCGGAGGACTGTATCGATGCAGACTAATTACATAATTGAGGTATAAATTGCGTGTCCTTTCTAAGTAAAAATTGATCATTATCACTGTAGTTCTCAATGCTTTGGGAAAATTGAAGTGCTTCTCACTTCTAATGATAGCACTATAAATAATAGCAAGTTAAATTAAGCCCAAAACTTTCATGTATTAATCGACATTATACCATATTTATGTGGGCGTATAAACAAATTCCATTACACGACAGCAAGAGGAGGGAGGGGGAGGGGATTCATACACTAAATTTCAATCTGCTCTGTTAGCATCAACAGAAAACATTGAATGTAACTAACAATAGTGTTGCAAAACTGAAATAAAATGAATAAATAATCGAAATCTCGCCTAGATTGCTAATAGGCATTGCATCAAATTAACACTCGTGTGCACGAATAGCAACAACAGGCTGTTGCTCGCTGCATTGAACAGGAAAATGGAGACGAGGGTTTAAATCCGCAAGAATAAATCTTGAATCGAGTGAGAGAGACAGAGGAACGGATCTAAAATGGAGAAGTTTCAATCGTTGTATTGAAATCGAGCTACAGGCTGTTGTCAGCAATCTTTATGTTCGTATATCATAAGGAAATTTACATGTTACCTTGTACCAGTTTCAACGGATTGATCAGCTTAAGCCAAGTGAAGCTCATTCCAGAAAATTGATAAGGTTGACGCAAGTATAAGCAATCAACTACTGATGCTGTATATACAAGAACTTTCTCAACATGAATTAGACTATCACTTTTTTAATTTTCATACCACGAAGGAATTGGCAATACAAAGTTAATAAAGAAGCGATAGAGAATATCCTTGATCTTCGAGGGGAAACTTTTATAATTTTAAGTGAGAGGTAGCATCTTCAAATTCTATATACAAAGGTAACGACTTCATCCTCAGAGTTATAAAATGTCATGCATATTACAGACTACAAACTAAGTACTATAACCAGGCATATTTATCAGAAAAATGTCTAATTAGTATCCATTTTCCACAGCACGGTACAGAGCACATTTTTAATGTTACAATTTACCACTTACCTGTAAGCCAGGAATGAAAGTATCAGTTCGAAGATCATTCACATTGCAACAGGGACTTCAAATTTAGGAGATCTTCTGGAATACTTACGATGAATCAACCCCACGCTTTAGTTCCGCATAACTTGTGAATGATTAATTCAAATAATAATTGTAAAAAGAATCAATTAAAAATGAAATATGAGATATAGCCAATTAGTTGTTGGAAAAAAACAAATAAACTTAAATTAGCATGTAAATTAAATCCGAATAAAAATAAATAATTAAATCTGGCCTGATTCGGAGCAATCGTGTAATCACTGCCCTAGAAGATTGAGGACCCCGCCTATCGCCCTAGCACAGATGATCCCCTCTCCCCTAGCAGTAAAAACCCCCGGAATAGGCCGACCTCTGTACTCGGGCGAGAGTACAGAGCTTCTGTTCAGATGAAGAAAGTTGCCCAAAAATAAAACTAATACTATGAAGAAATAATATGAAGAGGAGAGAATAGACTTGTTCTTTTCCTTATCAAAACCAAGCTCAACATACGACTATATATATATGGTGTTGGAAAGAGACGTTATAAAACCCGCATTTAATACGGTAACGTTCGTCATAAATTTTATAACGTTCCCCATAATTATATAGCCGTTACAAATATTTTTAATTGCTAATTAAAACATGTTTTAATTACAAAAATTCATTACTATTCATGAAGGCAAAATTGTCTTTTCTTAATAAAATATCTAACAGTCCCCCCAAAAGATAATATTGACTGAAAACTCAAAACCAATAAATAAATCAAGAAATCATAAAACAAATATAGGTTGGACAACCTTTCGTATCGTGAATTCGGAAGAGGTAGCTTCCGACTTTGAACCTTTTCTTA